ATTCTGCCAAACGCTACTCTCAACATCGCCATGTCTTCAAACTGGTGACCTTAAAAGACTTGCTGAGGTCTCTCCCTGAGCACTAGAACTGAAGCATCATCAGACTAGGGCCTTTCAAGGGATGTGACAGCATTAGCTTGAAGATGAAGACTAACTGCTGCTAAGCAGGAGCTGGGGCTGGCTCAAGTGCAGTAAACACATACTGCACTCCACTCATTAGCCCAGACTTATGGCCCCTGAGATATTATGAGATGCAAGGATCTTGTGATATGGCAAAATATAGTTTAGGATTACAGTTTTATGAAGCTTACAAATCATTCTTTACAACTTTATTGTACTCTATGATTCCCCCCAACTACTAGGAAGAGAAAAGAACAGACTATGCCCCTAGAAATTAATCAATTATGCCATAGCAAAACTTTAATCTTCTTGACACTGTATGGACAAGGATAATTAAAGACATTTTGGAAAGCTTTCACTCATTACACTAAGGCTCTACATCCAATAATACAAATCCTCAGAGCCTCTTTAGTGGCCACTCCTTATCCAGTATCCCCTGAGCCATAGGGCTCAGAGACTTGATTTAAATTTTACTGATAGGGTGGCTTCTAGCACAGTGAGTGGTGCTTGGGCTGATTAGCACTTATTTTGGGGGTCTTATAACTAGCCAGGGTCTCACTAGAGATGCTCTCCCTGGGTTGTTTTGAGACAAAATTAAATACAAATATAAAATATTCACTCCCAAACCCTACAGCATGAGCTTCTAGTTTTCTGCCAATTTTCTGCTGATAAAAGAACAATGTGGATGTTCAGGCAATTAATTATAGAAGCAAATCCACAGAAGACATACTGTCCAGAGAGCAGCACAGCAGCTTCCTGTATGTGTGTCACCTATTGCCTCTTATGTAGCTGGAAGAACTCCATGTGGAACTCCAAAGGTCCTTGTCCTCACGACTGCAATAGGTGACCGCACAGACTTTATTGCTATCTTTTAAAAATAAACTCAGGAGCACTGATCCATTTTGTACGGATGTTAAGCAACTTCTGAGTCAAGAGGTTTAAGTCAAGAGCTTTTCTTTGCTGCTGACTTGCACTAGACTCCAATCAAGCAACTCTGAGACATGTCTCACATTTTAGTAGCTGCCATGCAGAAGAGAAATTCTTACCACCTGGGAAAATACCCAAGCGGACTGCTGTTCAACCGTCCACCTGAAGTAAAGGCCTTCCACAGAAAGGCTCCCTCCCTTCCTTCTCTCCGTATCAGAGTGCAGTAGCACTGGGCCAAAACAGCACCCTGAATCTTGAGACTTCTCAAAGGTGAGAACATTCTTAGCTAAGCTGTGTAGATGTTACGGACACCAGGATTACTTCCATCACTACAATATGACATACTAATAGCTTGTTGCTTTTTAAGCCGTATAAGCATTCATTTCTTCCTGATTACTTTTAACTGGCATCAGGAGGTACTACAGTTACAAATATGATGTGTATGTTTAATCATACCTCTTCACTTTCCAAATAATGTTTTCATGATAGAGCACTATTAAGCTTTTATTAAAATGAGAGCAACATCCCAAGAAATCAGATAAGTATGCTTGGTTTTATGACATTTTGATTAGATTACAGTTAGCATGGCTTCCTATTTACTTATAATGATATGTCAAAACAAACAAACAAACAAACAACCAAAAATCCCACACACCTTTAAGCCTCTCAGAGAGTTATATATCATAGGTTCATTTTTTATGTTATTACAGTTAATATTGTTTTACAGTAGCATTTGTTGAAAGAACAAATGTTCATTTGCTGAAATGAACATTGCAGAAGACTGAATCAAGGCAGTAAACACAGAAGGTGACACAACTGGAAGGGGAAAACCAATCCATACTCTAGGGGTCTTCTGTTGTCCAAGGCCCTTCAGAAATTAATTGGATCCAAAACAACAAACTAACCTTGGGACCTCAGATTTTGACAGTGTGCAGAAACAGATTAGATCAGGTTAGGTCTCTTCAAAAGTGTAATGAAAGGATGAAATGAATGTTAAAATAAATGCAGAAAAAGCAAAAATGTTCCCGCTCTTGGAAGCAATGTCAGAATTTCTCAGAAAAAGCAAAAATGTTCCTGCTCTTCAAAACAATGTCAGAATTTCTCAACTCTAGAACTGAGATACGATAGTGATGAAAAACAGAAAGGGCAAGAAGAAACGATGGGAAACAGCACTGGACACCAGGTATAGGATATCAAAAGATATGGAATCAGAAAATAACTCACACTTTTCAATGAAAATTAATACTAAGCATATTTAAAATTAAATGCTTACCTGTTACCATATGCTAGACTCCTTTCAGGTAGCATGAACTGCAGTGATTGTTGTGGTCTTGCTAGTGGGATCTTGAACATACACATTCCATGAAATCCCCAAAGTAAAGCTCTGTTCACCTTTAAAACCATGCTCCAGGTTCCTTACATTCAGTTAGCAATGGTGACTGCTTGACCTGAAACTCTTCAGCTGACTGGGTAACTCATTCCTCACGTTTGTTTTCATCCCAAAATACTGCTCATTGACTCTGACAGACCCATATCTGTGTGAATATGTCTCTGTGGACATATAAAAGCCAATGTGGTCTGCAAGGTTGGAGTGATATTTTGTTTGCTCCTACTTAACCAAATTTTATTCATGCAGGTCTATACAATTTCTCAATTAATAAGTTCCTAGCAGGTTTTCTTCTAAAAAGCTAGACAGATGGCCTGAGCCACTGCAACAGGCAGCAGCAATAGGCGAGGTGTTGGAAGGACTGGGAGTGAGGTTGTTCATATAAAGCAAAGTATCATAGAGTATCATAAAAACAAAACAAACTACAAAAAAGGAAAATCTAAAGTGTTTTTAAATAAATAACTTCAAGCCTTTAGAGGACAAATATATCTAAAAATTCAATAACCTCAACTATTAAAAATGCATGGCAGCAAAATGATTTAAGATGTTTTGATGCTTCTAAGGAAACTAACAAAAGCACTGGATTCAGACTGACTTCTCACTGCTCTGATTTTGGCATTCCCTTTTTTTTTTTTTTTTATTCTTTAATAATTCCCACAATTACCACTAGATTTTGATTTGCATGAAAACAAGATCTTTGCTCTTTACGTACAGAGCTGATTTCCCACCTGAAGATAGTCTTTTATGGATGAGGCTTTAAGAGCAAGCTGTCATGAGAAGCTGCAGATGCTAACAACAACATCAGATGATATCAGAGAAGCCAATATGTATGATCCATGAAAACTACGGTGCAAGTGTCTAGATAGAGTTACAAGTGGTTAAGCAGTAAGAACATACGAACTCTTAGGACACAAAATATCCTATTTTTATGCAAATGTCCTCTGTGTTGTTGAATAAAAACTGCCAATGTCAGATAGCACAGATTCAAGGTAGTTTTTCATATTGCTCACTTCATCTTGAAATACCATGTTCAAACTTCAAAGATCAAAAGGTATTCAACAAGGGATGCCAAACTTGGAGTAATACAGGATTAACCCCACATAGCCTTACAAAAGGGCTGAAGAAGGCTGCAGTTCTCAAAAGCTGTGAATTCATGGTCAAGTTCCTACTGCAAATCAGGTCTCACAGCTGGAATAATCACACATCAGACTATGGTTTGGCTTCGGTCCCCAAGAAACTAATTGCTTCCACTTCTCTGATAAGTAGAATCTGAAGCAGCTTGCAATGAGCAGGAGGGAAAGTTGATCTGGTATCTGTTTAAGAGTATAGTTTTTCTGTCGACAATTATACAGCCCCTTTTAGATTTGGCAAATACCATCTGTAGAAAAGAAAAAAATCTACCTGCCATCTATCACTACAAACATATTCTTAGTCCAAAATTAAGATAATGATACAAAAGTGTTTTGAAATGAAATTCT